TCCGGTCTATCATCTGACTGGAGAATATAGTTTTTACTAAAGGTAAAAAGTGATTTGAGAATGTAGAAAATGGTGCAGTTCAAGAGCAGGTTTCTCAGAACAGAAGATGGAGAAGGCAGAGAAGTGGAAATACAATGTCTTGAATCTTTAGCTTATAAGCCAATGGAAATTCTGAGAGTCTCTGATATAACTTTTGAACACATTATCAGCTAAACTCTCCTTTTAATAAAATGAAATCACCACAAGGGAATATTACTTAGCTATAAAGAAGAACGAAATTATGTTATTTGCTGGTAACTGGATGGAACTGGATACTATCATGCTAAATGAAATAAGCCAATTCCAAAAGACCAAAGGCTGAATGTTCTCTCTGATATGTGGATGCTAACACACAATAAGGTGGAGGGGGGAGGAAAGAATAAAAGTTCATCGAATTAGACAAAGGGGAATAAATAGAAGGAAGGGAGGGTGAATGGGAATAGTAAAGCCAGTAGAATGAATCAGATGTAAATTTCCTATATTCATATATGAATACACAACCAGTATAACTCCACATCATGTACAACCACAAGAATGGAAAGCTAAGCTGAGTGTGGTGGTGCACACCTGTAATCCCAGCAGCTTGGGAGGCTGAGACAGGAGGATCACAAGTTCAAAGCCAGTCTTCGCAAAAAGCGAGGTGCTAAGCAACTCAGTGAGATCCTGTCTCTAACTAAAATACAAAAATAGTGTTGGGGATGTGGCTCAGTGGTCGAGTGCCTCTGAGTTCAATCCCTGGTAACCTCCTCCGCCCAAAGAAAGAGTGGAAAGCTATACACCATGTATGTATAATATGTCAAGATACATTCTTTTGTGTGTTCTAACTAAAAAGAACAAATAAGAAAGAAAAAAAAATGAAATCATAGATTTACTAGTATAGCCTGTAATGTGGTTGACCTCAACGAAATCTTTATTTATTTATTTATTTTTAGTCAACTTAGAAACTGGCTACATTTTCTATTAAAAAAAATACACTTGTTGGTACTTTCTGAGGAACTGTTATCTCAAGCTGAAGATATCTTTGCTCAGTTCACTAGGGAGATATCATGCTGTGCTTTGCCTACTTTATCCTCTTGTGGAAATACTACACTGAAGGGAAACTTAAAATAGCAATAAGAAATCAGCTTACATTTAGTATCAAATACTGATCCAAGATTAATAACAGGCTGGTATTTTCTGCTTCACTGAGACACACTGCAAGACTGAAAAAATATGGCCCTGTTATATCTGTCTTCAGAAGGAGTCACCATGGAATCCCAAAAAAGCCACTGTTAGAAGTAATTTGTTGGCTTTCTGACGTCTCAGGCTCATTACTGTGATCTAAATATCAGCCTTTGGTATTATTTTTCTGGGTAGGTCATTAATGAAAAAAAAAAATGGAAAAAAACAATGACTATGAAATCAGTTTTTGAGATAATTTGTACATTCTAGATACTGATGTTATGGGGTGAATGACTTGTGTTTGAATGTAGAAAAATCATATRGCACCCAGCTCAGGTAAGTAAAGCACAGTTCAGGCAGTCACTACAAAATATATTTGACTCTCTAAATTAGTAATGCAGTGATCATTGCCTGCAGATGTAGAAATGCTATTATGAAGAATACTAGAGGGGTTATATAAATTGAATTCATGTAGAAGGAAAAACATTTATATTCTAGATAAGCTTTTACTGATTTTCAATTCAAACCAAGTAGCAATAATTCAATATAGTAATGAAAGAAAATTCCTAATTAAAAAGAATCAAACGGACTTTTCCCTTAGGCCAAAGGTATTTAAAATGTTTTCCCAAAACAAGTATATGATGATTTTTATGATTTTTAAAAAGTCAATGAATTTTAGAAATACATTCTTGGTTTGGCTCGAGTTTAGGGTTGAGGAGGGTGGGCAGTCCAGAAGGGGTCCTCTATTGTGGGGAGGCATAACACTGGCATACTTTACAGAAAGCACTTCCCACATTGAACGCATAGCATCCAGCCTACCACAGTCTTTCTGTGTTCTTTTCTTGAATCTTCAAGAATTCTAAAAATATTTGGGTGTGTATTTTGCATGTTCAGAGTAATCAAATCTTACAAATAGATGAAATCTTCAGAAGTTTTAGCTGCATTTCCAAACTCCCACTCAGAACAGCTATTATAGACAGATGAGAGAGAGAGATGTGCTATTCCTTTTTTTTTTTTTTCATTTTGCTAGTATAAATTTGGCCGAACAAGGGAACTATAGGGCTCACTTTACCATTTTTACCAGTTTATCAAGCATTTKTATGGACCAACTAAATAAGCCTAGAAAGGGCCTCAATGGTCATCTAGTCTAATCTCCTATCTTCAAACAGGTGACATTTGATTTGTCTGTTTGGAAAAAGGCATGGTTATTCCAACTGTAAGTACATATCTGGTCTTTGTTTTAATGATAATTCATTATTTACCCTTGAAATTTTCTTTCAAAGCAATTGATTTACTTGATATAAAATACCCAATGGAAGAAAAGGCCTGGAGACTTAATAAAATTGCAATTATGCCCAAATAATGTCATACTAGATTTGTGAGGTCACTATTGATAGGTGTAAAAGCAAGTAAGATTACAGATAACATTTTTAGAACAAGACCTGCAGGATCTGAGGCATGAAGAGAAAGATTAAAGGATGACGATGTTCTTATATTCCCATCCCTGAAAACAGCTATCAAAAGGCTGCAGGCATCTGGGAAAGAACTTTCTTTTTAGCTTGTAGGCCAGAAATACATTGGCATTGCCTCTGGAATTGGAACAAAATCAATTTTTAATTGGTTTTAAAATCTGGAATGGAACATTCCTGCAGTCATCCATGAACCGACCTTATCCTGTAGAAGTTGAGTGAATCTTGGCTAACCATCTGCCTTGTGAATTGTTTTGTTTGGGCCAGAGAGTACTTGCTGTGCGGTAGTTTTACATCAAGTTGCAGTCCTTCATAATGTTGCTTGAGTGGAGAATTTGAAAGAGAAAAAGTCTCCTGGGAGAAAAATCAAATGCCTTCACCAATATGTCTTGGAGCTGGATGGACCCACAAGGCTGGAAATTACCACCTGCTTTCCTCCTACCTCAGCACAATGACTTCCAAAATCAAGTGCAGCTTTTGCTTGCAGATGAGAGATATCGGAGCAAATAGACTGCATTCATGAAGGCCAAATATTGTATTTTTAAGATTGATTTTACTTAGAATTTCACTATATTCACTATTTAAAATCCAAATTTTCATAAATACGGTTGCATTCTCGTAAAGTGTGCCTACTGTGAAGTAAGTGTGGAATAAAGGTTTATTTCTAATAGTGCTCATGAATGAGGTGTCAGTCTCCTTCCTGAATCCACTCTGTCCCCACCACAGGGAACACAAGTAATGGAGGAAGCTAAGATGATGACTCACCCTCTCTAAAACAAAGTGGAAAACCTATTGTGGATGAATAAGATAGTCTATACTACCTTGTAAATTAAAACTCCATATTCTCAGCTTGGAAATAGTTGAAGTAAGTAAGCCTCACAGGAACTTCTAGCATTTGAGTTTGAATGACTAAGCACAAGAGATAAAAGAGCAACAAAATCAAATTTAGCTGTCTAATAATAATAATAATAATAGATTTAATATAGAGAGTTTTCAATTTTGTGATGTTTTTATATCTGGATTATCTTCCTGGGAGATGCAAGACATTAACTCCAGAGTGTGTCTTCATTGAGAAGTAAAATTTCTAGTCAGAACCCAGTAKAATGGAGTTCCTCTGAATGACAGTAGCAAGGGATATGCAGAGATCTGCTATTTATTTTGGAATTGTGGAATGGGGTAAACCAGCCACTTAAGCCAAAAGTCATCAAAACAAAACGTAAACCATACTTGTAATCTTTCTTAAAGTATACTAATTGATGAGCATTATTAGAAAAAATACAATAGTATCCATTCCAGCCTATCAAGAGCATAACCTGTTGTCCCTATTTTAGACATGAAATAGTTTTTTTGTCTTTCTACATTTTTTTGTTTGTGCATTATGGTTGTACATAATGATGCAATTCATTGTTACATATTTATATATGCACAAAATACAACAATATATTTTGGCCAATATTGCTCCTCAGTGCTTTCCCTCCTCCCTCACCATCTCCCTCTCTATCCCTTTTTTCTACTCTACTGATCTCTCTTTGATTTCCATGAGATATACCCACCCCCATCTTTCTTTTCCTTTTTCCTTTGTACCTCCCACCTATGAGAGAAGACATTCAACCCTTGACCTTCTGAGTTTGGCTTATTTCAATTAACATAATGGTCTCAAGTCACATCCATTCTTATAAATGATGTAATTCCCTTTTACTTTATAGCTGAATAACACTCTGAATTTTTAAAATACTTACTGAAGTTAATGCTTGTCTAATATAAGGAAACACTACCTTGAATACAAGTTATTAATATAACTTATTTGATATGAATGTGTGTTCTAGAGTAAGATAACTTGGCTTCAATCCCAGTTCGACCACTCACTACCTGTAAGACTTTCTGTACCTTACCATGCCTCTTTTTGCCTCTGTTTCTTCATTGGTAAAATGTGGATATAAAAATATCTAGCCTGGTGCAGTGGCACATGCCTGTAATCCCAGCAGATCTGGAGGCTGAGGAAGGAGGATTTCGAGTTCAAAGCCAGCCTCAGCAAAAAAAGTGAGGTGATAAGCTACTCAGTGAGACCCTGTCTCTAAATAAAATACAAAATAGGGCTGGCTCAGTGGCTCAGTGGTTCAATGCCCCTGAGTTCAATCCCAGTACCAAAAAAAAAAAAAAATCTATTGTATGGTGTGGTGATGAGGATTAAATGAATTAACACTTAAAACACTAGTATCTGGTTTGTGCGAAGTACTCCACAGGTATAAATATTTCGAATTAAACAAATGTCACAATACAGGAGACAAGCATGCAGATCATAAATCCAGGCTCTGGGACTTTCATATTCACCTATAACACAGAAGGGCTTTCGGGCAAACCTCAGTCTTCCTTGCCATCCTCTATACCGACAACAGCAACCTGCTGACCAGATTCGAATGATGAACTCCAAGCCAAAGACGACAATCATCACGAACTCCTAAAATATCAGATAAGACACGTCAGAGAGAAGCACCATGGAGCAAACCACAATAGGAATCTCTGTGACTATTTCTGGACATATCCTCCATATCCACCAACTAAACATGAAGAACATTGAATCCTCATATTGTCTGCATTTACTATCATGGGAAACTATTCCTTTTCAAGTCACTAACACTGAACATTTAAGAATCAGTTTCAACACTAAACATGCATGCCAAATAATGTTTCTGTCTCCTCTGTAATATATAGTGTAGCTGATGTTAGCTATTTAGTAACATGAAATAGCTGAATTGAAGAGTAGACCCTAAAATATAATTGCAAGTTCTACTGAAAACAAAGCTTCCTTTTGTGCAAGGAATGACACCATCCTTAAGCTTTTGAGAGTTGTTCTCAGAGAACAAGAAGTAAATATTTAGGAGTAACTGAGCTCTTTTGTTACAATGTCAAAATCTCCTTATAAAACTGATTTTTCTAAAGCATCACCGTGTGTGGCACGTATATCCATTGCCAGAAATGAGACCCTGAATCCTCTGAGTCTGAAGCTTGTTAATTATTATGCTGCCCTTTGGCAACAGCTGCCTGAAAAACAACACCTGAGCCAGCAAAATGACTTTGAGATTATTTAGGAAGAGTTGTGAGTTAACCCTCGGGAAAGGCCAGCTAAAGTGGCTCATTAAACAGTCAGTCATAGAAGAAAAAAACGGAACAACGGAATTTGAAAAAGGAAAGTATCTCTGGAGCAAACTTAGCAGAGTCACTTGTTCCTATAGGGATGGGTAATGAATTTATTAAAATTGTTTTTTTAAAAATAATTACCTTTCTAGTTTTTAAATAAGATTGACTCAGCATTTACAATGTRGACATCATTTGTTAATTGATTTTTTTTACAATGGCTTAATTTTAAAAGTGGTACATAYTCTTTACTGAAACTTCCAAACATCACAGTCATACAGAGCATTATATAAAGACTGCAATCCACTCCTCACTCTCTCATCCCACTCCCAAGACAAAAACTGTTACCAAATTTATAAAAATGGCATTTTTGTTGCAAGTTTCAGGCAAATGTCTGTTTCTTTAGTTAGAGCATGTGATGATGTGCTGCACTTTGGAAACATCTAGTAGAGACACCATTCTATCCTTCTGTTATCTTGTACTAAGTATTCTGCAAATATTTCTCATGATGGGAAATAAATATTCCATATCATCACTCCTTACTCACAGTGACTTAGAACTTCTCACAGGATAAATATCTGGAGACAACTTTATGCACAGATCACCAAAATTCTGGTCAATATATTTACTGATTGAAGAACTGAGAGGTATTTTTTTATTAATTCATTTTGAAAACTTTTTTACACAAATGGAGCACAACTTTTCATTTCTCTGATTGTACATGATGTAGAGTCACACCATTTGTGCAATAATACCCACACATAGGGGTAATAATGTCCATCTCATTCCACCATTCCCCCTCTACATCCCTGCCCCTCTGCTCAATCCACATTTCCTCCATCCCCCCCATCACCCACTTATGGATCAGCATCCACTTATCAGAGAAAACAKTCAGCCTTTGGTTTTTGTTTTTGTTTTGAAAGCATATCTGTGTAATTGAGTCTATTTGTTTAATAAGGTTTCAAAAGATGTCTGATCATCTGTTTTCATCCAGCACATCTTTCCACATATAGAAACCATGCTAAGGCCTAAAATGCCCACTTAGCTGTACTTTGATCCAATGTAAGTTTAATGGAAGGTCCATTTTTTCCCTATTCCTGYCCTTGACTCCTACACATGCCAGGAAGTTTGGTACCCTGGTTGTGAGACATCATATTGTGAAGGAGACACAAGAAAACCTGAAATGTCACCTGAGCCCCCTGTAGTACCATGTAATGATTTTTATTTTCCACAGAAACAGATGGCACCAATAGATGTATAACCATTGTTCTCAAGGAAAGTATGCCAAGGTCTCTGTGTTATTTCTATGGTGCAGTAAGGTAGGATAAATTTAATTTGCAAATTATTTTCTTGGGGCCCATTATTCAAAAATATTGCTTGTTGCTGTCTATTTATTCATATTTGGTGGGTTCTTTCTACCTGTGCATAAACATGAAGTTCTCTATGGTATATTTATATATAAGTGCATGGCATGATTTTTAAAGAATCATTCTGCATTGTCCCCTTACCCATCCCTCTACTAGTAGTTTCTCTCCATCTCCTTCTTCTACACTACTGATCTTTCCTTTTTATTATCCTATCCTTTCCTCCCTGTTTTCTTTATTTTACTCTAGCTTCCACATATGAGAGAAAACATTTGGCTTTTGCATTTCTGAGTTTTGGTTATTTCAGTTTTGTTGCTGCTTTTTTTTTTTTGGTTTTGTTTTTAAAAGAAATCAGAGAAAAAATGGCAACATTCTTTTTTTTTTCCACCTCAGGAAGCAAAACCTAGTAGAGTTGAAAGGAGAAATATAGAAATCCATAGTTATATTTGGGGATTTCATCACTTCCCCTTCTCAGAACTGCTGGAATAGGACCAGTAGTAAGAAAATCAGCAAGCTTATATAATATTTGAATAAAATAATAACTTATAGGATCTAATTGGCAGATATGGAATATTCCACCCAACAACAGCAGAATACAGATTTTTTTTTTCATTCTTTGTCAATGTTCTAAAGAATAGGTACCAAGATAGATCAAATCCTAGGTCATAAACAAATTCCAAAGAGTTTGAAAAAATGAAATCATACAGACTGTGTTCAAACCACAGTGAAATCAAACTTAAAATCAACAATGAAAGGACAAATCTCTAAACATGTGGAAAGTAAACCACACATTTCTTAGTAATTTATTAGTCAAAGGGAAGTCTTAAAGGAAATCACAAAATGCATAGAAGAGGAAGAAAATGAAAATACAGCATACCAAAATATAAGGGATGCAGTTAAAGCAGTGCTGAAAAAGAAATTTTTAGCACTAAATATTTGTATTAGAAATAAGAAGAGGTCTAGCCATGTACAGTGTATTTGGCTGTAATCTTAGTTACTTGCAAGGAGGTGAGGCAGGAGAATTGTGTTTGAGGTCAGCATGGGCAACATAGCAAGACCCTATCTTTAAGAAAAAAAAAAAAGAAAGAAAGAAAGAAAAGAAAGAAATAAGGACTCAAACGAACAATCTAGAATCCTAGCTCAAGAAATTAGAAACACAGAGTAAAAGAAAGCAGAAAGAAGGACATGGTTCAGATAAATCATGAATTGATGAAATAAGAAAATAAGCAAAAAGAAGATTCCTGACACCAAAAGTTTTGGTTCTGTGAATTTCAARTTGGTAAAATTCTCACAAGCTGACAAAAATCACCAATATTGGAAAAGTAACAGGGGATCTCACTGTAGATAATACAGCTCTCAAAAATAATATACTATGAATAAATTTAGCTAAATAAATATCACAAATCTGAAGACATTGACCAAATCCATGAAACTCAATAATGAAGAAACAAATAATGTGAATAGTCCTATAGTCTCCAAAGAGATTGAATTTGTAGTTAAGAAGCTTTCAAAAAAGAACTGTCCAGGCCAAAAGATTTTACTGCTGAAGTTAACCAAATTTTTAAAGGAAAATTATGCCAATTTCACACAATTCTTTCCCAAAAATAGTAAAGGAGAAAGTACTTTTGGATTCATTTTTCTTAAAGAGACAGGATCTCATTATTATGTTGCCCAGGCTGGCCTCGAACTCCTGGGCTCAACCAATCCTTCTGCCTCAGTGTCCTCAGTAGCTGGGACTATAGGTGTGTGCCGCTATATTTGGTTAAAGAATACAAAAACAAAACAAAACAAAAACAAGAAGCCAATATCTTTAATGAAATTAGAACCAATAATCTTCACAAAATTTCAGCAATTTGGACCCATCAATATATAAAAATATATATACCATAAACAAGTTGAATTTATTCCAGGTATTCAAGGACAGTTTAATATTTGAGATCAATGTATATAATGCAGTATATCAACAAACTAAAGAAGAAAAAATATAACCTTATCAATTGATGCAAAAAAAAAGTCTTTGACAAAATTGAATGCATATTCATGGTAAAAACTCACAACAATTTAGGAATAGAGAGTGATAATCTCAAGTTGATAAATCATACCATAAAAACCCTATAACTAATATCATATTTAATGGCAAAAGACTGGCTGCTTTCCTCTAAAATCAAGACCGAGGCAAAATATCTACTTTCAACACTTTTATTCAACATTGTTCAATAAGTCATTGTCCTTGCAAGAGACAAATAAAAGGCACACAGTTGGGAAAGGCAAACATAAAATGGTCTCTATTTGCAGATAACATGATTGTCAATAAATTTCAAGGAATCTACAAAGACACTCTAAGAACTAATAAGCGAGTTCAGTAAAGTTGCAGGATATATGACCAAAATGAAAAAGTCAATCACATTTCTGTATACTAACAAAAAGCATGTGAAAATGAAAAACATGATATTATTTACAGTTATTCCAAATAAAAATAATAATTAAATTTATACTTAGTAAAACATGTGCAGTTTATATGTGCTGAAAATTACAAAATGCTGATGAAAGAAATCAAAGAAGACCTAAATAAGTGGGGTGAGAGACTATTTTCATAAATTGCAAAACTTGACATACTTAAAGTTGCTAATTCTTCCCAAATTGATCTATAGATTTGATGAAGTTTCTCTCAAAATGTCAGCAAAGCATTTTTGGGAGATAGAAATAAACTTATTCTAAAATGATATGGAAATTCACAGGCCTTAGAAGAGCTAAAATAATCCTAAAAAAGAATAAAGCAAAAGGAATCACTTTAGCTGATATTAAGGTTTACTACATAACTCCAGTAGCCAAGATTGGGTGGTATAGGGAGAGGTATGGACATATAGAACAGTGGATCAGAATAGAGAACTCAGAAATTGGTCCACACAGACATACTGATTTTTGTTAAAGTTGCAGAAGCAATTCAATGGAGGAAGAA